CTTCTGCTGTGGCTTTGGTCTGCCGAGGCTGTGGAAGTGCCGGTAGCCAAATCTGCTACTGCACTCACTGTTGCTTGTCGCCCGGATTCGTCACCATCGTGTATCCCTGGAGACTGGACGCTCCGCTGCGGCTCTCCTTCTTGCGAGGCCGCTCCTCCGAGGGGCCTTTGAGTGCAGCCACTTCCTCCTTGAGGTCCTTGACGGTGTCGAGGAGCTCGGCCAGGACCTCCGTCCTCACCGACGTGACACTGCCCACGGAGGATGCCGCTACTGAGCGGCGAGCTGGACTCTTGGCCATCGCCACAGGCTTCACGGGAATCTCCTCGGGAGGCTCCTGAACCGTCGTCTTGATCGTCTTCACCACATTCTCGGGGATGGGGTTGGACTCCTCCTGTTCCAACCACACAGCGAACCTCCTTAACGCCGTGCATACTTCCTTTTCCTCGCGGCTGGTCTGCCGCACCCACGTGCAGTACTGAGGGTAGCTGTCGCGGGTGGCCTGGTAGGTCAGATCGTGATGGCGTCCGAACCCCACCAGGTCGTCCTTCGACACCGCCGTGTGCTCGTAGATATGATCGAGGGCCGCACTCACCAGCTGTCGTATGGTGTGCAGCGGGTTGATCTCCATCATGTACTCCTCCTGTAGCAGCTTCACCAACGTGGCCTTGTTGCGTGCCGCCTTGTTGAGCTCGGTCACCTTGGTCTTGAGCGGCGTCTTTTCCTTCTTGTTGGATAGGAGGGGAATGCCGTTGCGCCGACTCACCTCCTCCAAGCGATGAATGATTTGGCTTTTGCTCCATCCGCGTGGAACGGTCTCGCGCATCTCCTCGAGGCGCATGATGAGAGCCTCCTTCGTCATTCCCTCCATGCTGCGCTGGCCTGGAAGTAGTAGGAAGGCTGGCTGGACGTCTCGAGGATGTTGTTCCGGCTGCTGTCACACAACGTGCTGTCTCCACACTCTCAAACTCAGGAAGTGCAATCTGCCTAGCAACACTACCATCACACTGCACATGTCTACTCTTACTCAAATCCGAAAGCTTC